TTTTTCTGTGATTCCTTTGGATTTCATACCTTTAGTCATACTGTTCATGAATAACAGTAGTTTCACTTGTTCTTATAATCCTTATGCCTTTTTTGCCCCTTACGTTAGCTAGAACCTCCAGTACAGTGTTGAAAGGAAGTGGTAATAGGGATCATTTTTCACATTGCCTAATCTCAAAGGGAAAACTTTCAACCCTTTCTACTAAAGATGATGTTTGCTGTAGAATTTTTGTAGATGCTTTATGAGACTAAGTATGTTCCCTTCTATTCCTGGTTTTCTGAGAGTTATTACTACAATGTATTGTTGAATGTTATGAAATGCCTTTACTGCATACATTAAGGTATTCATGAGGCTTTTACTTTATTGATATGACATATTACACCAGGTGATTTTCTATTGTTAAACCATCATTATACTACTGCAATAAATCCAACTTAGTCATGAGGTGATATCCTTCTTACATATTGCTTGATTTAGTTTATAGTAAGTTGTTTAGGATTTTTATACCTGTGTGTTTATGAGTAAAATTTTCCTATAATAGTTCTTACTTTTCATATCCTTGTTATGTCTTTTTTTAAAATTGATTTTAAAGAGAGAGGAAAGGAGAGGGAGGGAGGGAGCGAAACATCGATGATGAAAGAAAAACATCCATCGGCTCCCTCTGGCACACCCCCTACTGGGGATCGAGCCCACAACCCGGGCATGTGCCCTGACCAGGAATCAAACTGGAGACCTCTTGGCCCATGGGACAGAGCCCAACAAGCTGAGCCACACCAACCAGGGCCATATCCTTGTTATGTCTTGATTTCAAGGTTATGCAGGCCTCTAAGAATGAGTTGGGGTATAGTCCTTTTTTTTAATTCTGTAAAGAATTTATGTGATTTCTATGTTATTCTTGTTTGCTAGTGAAACCATATAGGCATAGAGTTTTCTTTCTGGAAAGTTTGCATTTATGGATTTAATTTATAAGATTATTCACTTTTTTGTATTTCTTTTTTGACAGTATTAATTACTTGGATTTTTGTAGACTTTCTCCACTTCGTATGAAATTTCAGATTTATTGAAATAAAGTTGTTCATAGTAGCCTTTTATCCTTTTTATGTCTACAAGTTTTGTAGTGATGTTCCTTTTTCATTTCTGCCTTTGGTTATTTGTGAATTCTCTCTTTTTATCTTCATCTTGCCAGGGTTTTAACTTTTTTATTAGTCTTTTCAAAGAACTACATTTTGGATTTGGTCCTGTCTTTTCTAATGTTTATTGTACTCTTATCTTTTTTTTCTTTTCCTCTCCTTGGATTTATTTTGTTGTTCTTTATTTAGTTTCCTGAAAAAAAAGGCTTACTTTAAAATTTAACCTTTTCTATTGTGTATTTATAAAGCTATAATTTTAAGGTAGGCAGAGTTAAATTGTATCCCACAGACTTTGATGTTGTTGATTAATTCAAAATATTTTTTAATTTCCATTGTGATTTCTTCTTTGACCATGGATGTGTTAGAAGTCTATTTCTTAATTTCTGAATATATAGGTGTTTTTAGTTTTCTCCTTATAACCGCATTGTCAGTAAACTTTTTAAAAATTACTTTAAAGGTCAGATAAGTTATTTCAACCGTAAGAAATGTATTGTCTTTGCTGTATGTGTTTTAAAATAATGAGTGTTCTGTAGTTGTTAGATACCAAATTCTGTATGTCTGTTATTATCACTTATGTTTAAGTTGTTCAGTTCCATAGCTTTACTGATTTATTTGTACACACTTGTTTTCTCTGTGCTGATTATAACTTTGTTTCTTTGAGTATTTTAGTCAATATTTTACTTTAAATTTATTTTTTTTTTAAAGTTTAACAGACATTTATTCCTTTAGTTGAACAACCTCTACACACAAAATAGATGGTTTAAGATTTTTGAATGGGAAGGAATTTAGGTCTTAAGAGGTTTTATATACCGGCTACATGTTTTAAGACCCGTGATGATTACAGCCAGACTGAAAAGTACTTTAAATTTCTGAAGCCATTTTTTGGTTATTTACAAATTTGGAAATAATGTTCTTCATAATTTGAACTTTTGTCATTGTGAAATATCCCTCTTCATCACAGGTAACACTTCTTACCTTAAAGTTTGCTTTGTCTAGAATTAAAATAGCTACACCAGCGCAGTTGTTTTTTTTATTAGACATGGTATGTCTTTTATTTCCATCCTTTTATTCTCTGTCTTTCTGAATTCTTATGTTTTATATGTGTCCCTTGTAGACTTCATATAGGTGGGCTTTTTAAAAAAATAAAGGCTGACAATCATCAGCTTTTTAACTAGAGCATTTAATTTATTTACATTTAATGTAATCACTGATGTATTTGGACTTAAATCTAGTATTTTATTATGTGCTTTTATTGTACCTGATACATGTTCCTGTTTTTTTCTTGCCTTTTTGTTCTTTTTTCCTTTTTCTTTTGACTATTTTTTATTGTTCCATTTTTTTCTTTTGTTAGTTTAAAAGTTTTTATACTCTTTTTACTCTTCTTTTAGTAGTTAACCTAAAGGTTACAATAAAAATCCATTACCTATCAAAGTCTGTTAGTTGGTACTTTTATCCTTTTCCAAGATAATGTAAGGACTTCAATATGCTTTAGCTATTATATAATATAGTGCTGTTTTTGTTTTGTTTTAAATTACCTGTATATTTTTAATCCAACATATTATTCTTCTCTTTTATGCAGTCACTATTCACTTAGATTCACTCACATATTTACTGTTTTTATTGTTCTTAATTTCTCCCTTACTAACTTTTCTTCTTGAGTCATTTTCTATCTGCCCTCTAGTATTTCCTTTAGTGCAGGTCTGCTGGTGACAGATTGTCTTAGACTGTCTGAAAATGTCTTAATTGCAGTTTTATTCTTGAAGGTTGTTTTGCTATGTATAGAATTCTAGGTTGGCAGTTACTTTTTTCTTTCATCACTTTGAAAATACCATCTATTGTTTTCTGCCTTCCATTGTGTCTATTGAAAAAGTTGCTTCTTTGTTCTAGGTACATTTTTTTACCTTACTGATTTTAAGATTTTCTTTTGCCTTTGATTTTTAGCAATTGTGTATGAGTATGAACTTATTTTTCTTATAGGTTGAAAACTTTCTTTAGTCAGTAGGTTGACATGTTTAATTGGTTTTGAAAAATTCTCTGCCATTATTCGTTTAATATTTTTTCTATAGGATCACTCTCCTCTCCTGGTATTTTTCTTGTTACATATGGTAGATCTTTTTATTGTGTCCTGTCTTTTACCTTCTTTTCTGAATTTTTACCAAAAATTTTTTGTTTTGTTTTGTTTTTCCTGCTTGATTCTTTATATTTTCTTCTGACCTAACTTCTGTTCCACTAATTCAACAGTGTCTTTCTGTCTCCTTCAGCATGGTTATTTTAAGTCTGTCTTACAGCCACAATGTCTGGAATCATTAAGGGTTTCTGTTGTTTTTTTACTGATTTTCATTTACATTGTTTTGTCTCCTTTTGTTCTTCGTTATCTTTGATTGTGTGTCAGACACAGTATTTGAAAAATTATTTGTAAAAATATTTTGAGGCCTGAGATGATGTTTCTTTCTTCCAAAGGGTATTTTTGCTTTTTCTGCCAGGTGCTAGGGCACTAAAAATCTGGATTACTTTAATCTAATTTTAGGGATTACAATTTTCTGAACCATTCAAATGACTTGAAGCTAGGCCACAGTGTCTGCCAGGACTATTATAATTTCAGTTTACCCTTAGGTATAGGATACAAATCTTGGGAATCCTAGCATGCTGATGTCAGGCATGGAGCCCAAACCCTTGTGTGGGTCTGGACTCTCACTTTTATTCTCTACCCCAGGGTTGGCAACCTCTTTCTGAAAAGGACAAGAGAGTAAATATTTTAGGCTTTGTAGACTATACAGTTTTGGTTGCAACAATTAATGCTGCCATTGTCCTTCAGAAGAACCATATATAATGCTTGAATTAATGAGCATAAATGTATTCCAATAAAACTTTTCTTGCAAAATTAGGCACAAGGCCAGATTTCGCCCATGAGCTATAGTTTGCTGACTCCTGATATTGTCTGTCAGGAACTCTGCTCACCTTTTCTTAAATTTAGATTAGCCCTAAATGTTGAGCTACCTTGTTAGCTTTCTAGTGCCTTTAAGAATATGTTGATGTTTCTGTGTTTGGTCCACTTCTCAGCAGGTTGTTTAACCTGAAATACTTGCCCTTATCAGAAGCTAAAGTTATATATAAAGTAATCAATTTAAAAGCAGTAAGATTTTTCCTCCTCTGATCTCAAGAAGTTTCTTGAGTCATTCTTAGAGAAGCTCTCTCACCAACACCCTGTGATGTATAAATGACTTTTTAAAAAAATGAAACTGAGTTTTGGGACGTTTCTGTAGTCTTCCTAGACAGATTGTGGATTCCAAGGTAAAAGGTGAAGAGCAGTGTTGTTCATCAGAACTTTGTGTGATGATGGGAATATTCTATACCTGCATAGTTCAGTGTGACAGCTATTAGCCACCTGTGACTATTGAGAACTTGAAATGTTAGTGTAAATGCAGAACTCAATTTTTATTTATTTAATTTTAATGGATTTAAATTTAAATAGCCATGTGTGGATATTTAGTTTGGAGTGGATGCAGCTTAGATTAAAAGAAGAATCACATCCCAGTATACACAATATGTCCTTATACTCCCTCCTGCTGAAGTATCCATTTCCCAATGCTCTTGCAAGAAATATTTAACCTAAATGTATTCGATGGATGGTATCTCACTAAACNATATGTCCTTATACTCCCTCCTGCTGAAGTATCCATTTCCCAATGCTCTTGCAAGAAATATTTAACCTAAATGTATTCGATGGATGGTATCTTAGACCTAGAGAATGTTTCCCTTTATTTCTACCATTCACCTGATATGACAGAAGTACACTTGTTATCCTAAATGGGCCACATAAAACTGATGTAGTCACTCAATTTACTTTATAACATGTATTTTTTTTTGTAGGGAAAGGGGTGTCTTCGTCGAGGAAACTTTCCAAGTCCATCGTCTCCTGTTGTAGTTCAATTGCCCTCCATGTCTGATGTCCCAGAAGAGGCCTTGACTAGTGAGGCAGCCATGGAGACGGACATCACAGAACAGCAGCAAGCAGCTATGCAGCAGGAGGAGAGAGTACTGACTGAGCAGATTGAGAACCTACAGAAAGAGAAGTGAGTTTCCAGGAGGAAAGGAAGCAACCTGTTATTTGTTTTCATTTCCTTCCTTCTGTCCTTTATTTTTCCTTATTTATTAAATATCTCCTATGTGTCAAGCACTGTGTCAGGTGATACAGGGGATGTGGAGATTACAAAGACATGTTGCCTGTACTCAAAAGTTGGTATCTCAGGGAAGGAAGCTCCATGAGCATGGAGACCTGAAGCTGCTACAATGATGATTCTAGATGGGCTGACTAGGGCAGGGTGTGTCAAGGAATCTTAGTCAAGATCCTAATAGGTCAGAGACCAGCTTCTGTGAACAGATCTGTCTTAAAAAGGAAGAATAAGGATTCCCAGGCTAAGACAAAGTCCCTTCCAAGAATGGGCATTATTCAGAATTCCATGAAGGAAGGATATTATCTGAAGATCAATGTAGCCATGGAGCCAGCAACAAGATGTTCAGAGTAGGGCAGCAACTCTAATGGGTGCTGGGATACTGGGTAGGGAAATTGGTTGTAATTTAGGGGAGGGACAAAGAAGCTTTGTAACCTTTACCATCACTGGAGCAAGGGTCGGTAACAATACATCTTGGGGGTAATATGAACATCCCATGGTTCTCCCTGAAGATACTGTGCACTGATCCTGACCGATAATGTCGACTCTTAAGTTTTAAGGGGACTTTTGTTCGTGAGTTCCAGAATCCCAGGTCTGAGAGCTTGATTCATGTGGGATATGAGTCTGTTAAAATACTTTTTGCTTATCAGGATTGATTCTGGAATTTAGGCAAGCTAAAAAAGCCAGCTGGAGCTTAGCTTTGCAGAACATGATAAGGCAAAAGTGGGGTACATTGACCAGGCTATTTGATACAAGAGTGATCTAAAAAGAGGACGTAACTCAGCTCTGATGAAAACTGTATTGGAGGTATTGAAGGATGAATAGGAATTTGTAGGAAGGGGAAAATCTTTCTAGAGAAAGGAAAAATGTGAGCACAGTCTCAGAGGTGTGAATACACATGGCTTATGACAGTGGTAATTGCAGCAATGAGCTTCTTGTGAGAGTATCTTTGAAATGGTTGTGTAAACTAGGTAGCGGAATTGAAGCTTAAAGGGCTTTGAAAGAGGAGACAGAAAAGGGAGTAAGAATTGGAAGGACAAGGAGGTTGTGGGCAAGTTGCCTATATAAAGTGGAGGAAAGATTGTTAGAAGCTGCAGACATAAAGGAACTTTGCTGGTAGAGTATTGAAGTGAGCTGTTACAAGGATATTGATTGAAGTAGATTAGGGTGATGTCAGGCAATAGTGAGAAAAACAAGATTAGGAGCCAAGTACCAAAGACTTCAGGGAATGAGGGGCATGACTGAGGTAGATGGGTGATTGATGAAGAGGAGTAGAAAATATGGTAAGTGGAGGCGACTTAAGCTTCAAGGACAGAAAAGATCAGTGTTTTACTTCATCCAGAGGTCTCTCTCTGGTCAAGGTAGAGAATATAGTTAGAAAAGTTTCATGGAAAATAAAGAGCTGGAAAGAATCTTAGAGATTATCTAGTTTAATCTCTTTGTTTTGTAGATGAGGAAACTGAGGTCCAGAGAGAGGAAAGTTCCTTCCTGAGGCATTAGGAATGAGTTTAGAACCCTGATCTGATGATTAGATCTTACAACTGCGGCATCTTTCCCTACATCACCCTTGACCCTGTTATAGGCCCAGCCTGTGCTGTAATTTTGTCTAGTACATACACTTTTAGCCTTCACCATTACTATGGCTTACAGATCCTTATGGCCCCCAGAAAGGGAACAGTAAGAGATCTGACTGGTTTTGCTATTTAAATTCCTGATTTTTATGCCTCGTCTTTTCTCCTGTTGTCTTCTTTCCACTTCTTATCAAATACTAATGGATTTCTTGATTGTATCTTGCAGGGAGGAGCTAACATTTGAGATGCTTGTACTGGAACCCCGTGCCTCTGATGATGAAACCCTTGAATCTGAGGCCTCCATTGGGACTGCCGATAGCTCAGAAAACTTAAATATTGAGTCTGAAAGTGCCATCTCTGAGAAATCAGGTAAATGAACATGTTAGTGCAGAGGAGGATTAAGGATTCCCAAGGTAAGACAAAAATCCCTTTCTAGAATGCCTTGACCTTATATGAAAAGGTGACAAAGTCCTAAGGAGTTGAAAAATAATGATCTTTGTGAAGCTTTTGTATAAATTGTTCACTAGGTGAAGCCTTCAGTGTAATGCAGCTTTTGGTAATTTAAAATTTCCTCTGGCATTTATTTTGCCAAGGAGAAAAGTCAATAATCACAACAATGTTGTCTTACCCAAGATCCACTTTCTAAGTAAGGGTGGATAGTTTAATATGATAGTGACAGATAATAGGCCTCTCCTAATGGCATAGTCAAATTCCAGATTTCCTTGAGGTTGATTCTGAAATGATGTATGTAGAAATGGATGGTGAGCTCTTTCTGAGTTATGTGTGTGCACAAAGTAGGTCAGCCTGGACCCTCCAGATCTAGCCTACCTCATTTCATGTGTGAATAGTGACACCTATTCATTACATAACTATTTGCTCTAGAGGGGGAATTTATGGCTTTGGTCTCTTTTTTGCATTAGAGAGAAGCTTAGCCCTTAGCTCCCTGAAGGTAGCTGGCAAGTCTGAACCTTCTAGCAAGTTGAGAAAGCAGCTAAAAAAGCAGCACGACTCTTTGGATTCAGTGGATTCTTCGGGCTCTTCTTTATGTTCATCTAACACTGTATCTTCTCATGGGACCAGAAAACGATTTCAGATTTATTCCAAATCTCCATTCTACCGAGCTGCCTCAGCTGGGGAGGCCCTGGGAATGGAGGGGCCATTGGGCCAGACCAAATCCCTGGAAGAAAGGCCTCAGTTCATCAGCAGAGGAACCTTCAACCCTGAAAAGGGCAAACAAAAATTAAAGAATGTGAAAAACTCACCTCAGAAAACCAAAGAGACTTCAGAGGGGGCACTGGTGTCTGGCCACAGGAAAACTGTGGACCCAGACTGCAGCTCCACCCAACAGCTAGCTCTCTTTGGAAATAATGAGTTTATGGTCTGAACTGGCAGATGTGTGTCCCTTCAGTGGTAAACACATCTCATCTTTGGGCCTCTTCTCATTACCTCATCCACAATAGTCCATTCTAAGTGAGGTCCTGCCTCTTGCCCCAAGCATATGACAGAGACCCGTGTGCTGAATTCCTGGGCCACCTGCTGAAGTGGAAAGGCCTCTTTGAAGCCTGCCAGGGATGGTGCCAGTTATGCTTTGGCTGCTGTATATGAAGAGATTTCACTAACAAAGCCACCTAGTTAGGGCCTGGGGATTTAGGTCAGTCTTGGAGGTCTTTGTATTGCCTCTCTTGCGTCCTCTTTTCCCTTTCCAGAGGTGGGTGTGGAACTGGTGAGCACATTGTGGGCCTGAGGGATGTGTTAATTTCTGACATTTGAAGAAAACATATAAATCTTTCTTAGCCATGTAAGCAAAAGCCTTTGGGTTTATTTTGGAATAGTTAGGAGCTGGGGTAGAATATACTTTTTTTCCAAGCGTTTATAAAAAAAAAAGGCTAAGCCCTCTATTTTAAGATTTTTGAAAAACACTTCATGTTATATTCTGGGGAAAGTAAAAAAGTAATTATATCCATTAAGCCATCAGAGCATGTCTCAGACCTCTGGTTACACAATGAAGAAGAGAGTACAAGTTTTGTTTTTTTATGATGTTTGATGTAATAATAATCAATGCTGGTTTAACTCCTAGTTAGTTCCTGCTAAATATATTGCATGGGCTGAAGTTTCAGTAGCCATACTGTTCTCATATTTCCTGGTCCTAGGATCAGCTTCCTCTGTTTTTTTTTAAATGACTCAGAGATATGGTGATCCTTAAACATGAAGGTTTCACCCTAATCCATCGAGGCTTTTCTCTTTGTATAGATTAAACTGAAGATCACATATTCATTTGCTGGTAGATTTCAATCTCAAACTCAAGACAAATGACCATTTAATCACTTCTCTCAAAACATTCACACACAATAATACTACATGAGTGTTATAGAAAGCTGCCAAAAAATAAGAAAAAAATTTTTTCAGATGACCCATCTTTTATCTTTTCCTCAGACCATCAGTATTAAATAGATTTTTTTTTTAAATCAAGGACTACTTGAAGCTACTTTTGTTAATATTCTGGTTACTGAAGTTTACTGTAAATATGTATGTATAGTATGCATATTTCTTTTTAACCTTATTCTTCGCTCCTCCCATGGAATTTCTTCCTACAGATTAGGGGTCATTGGACAGGGAAGTGAGAGCCACACATCCCTGGGTTGAGGGACAAGTCACAAGTCAGACCATCTTCACCACTAGCTGTCTCTATACACCTGAGTTATAATAGCATTTTAAGCTGCTTAGTATCCGTGGGATTAGAAATCTATTTCTGCTATTTATGGTAATATATGGAAAATGAAACATGATACCCTTTCTTGATGTAAGTATGTGAAAATGTTTATTTTTAAAGTTACTAAATGCATCTTGTCTAACTACCACATGCACTGTAACCTGAATTTTGGTTATGCTTCCTTTTAATGCTCCTTTGATTTGAAGTTACGGAAATATTAAGACACGTTAAGGCAGAGTCTCTCCTGTTAAACAACACTGAACCTCATCCACTGCTTAAGTGGTTGTTGTCAAACTCCATAGGTAAGACTTGTAACATCATTCTGAGTGGCAGCTAAAGGCAGCAGGAGTCTTCCCTGTCCCTGGTTTGAGTTCCAGAATGAGCTAGGGAAAGGAATCTTTATAGATCTCCAGAATGATGATGGTTAGTGGGTAAATGTTCCATTTTATATCCTGCAAACATCTTGTTCATGCTGTCCTGAGGAGTAATAAATGTAAACCCTTTAAAAATCTGAATTTGGAAAGTCCCCTAGAGGAAAACCTAATCAGCATGTTTGTGTCAAAGTGGGATTGCTGCTGCCCCAGGGCCACTGCCAGACTGCATGTCTGTTTCAGTGTTCTTGGGAGAGTAGTGTTCTGCTGGGCATGACCACTACCTTCCACTTGCCAGGCATTGGTCAATACCATACGAAAAAAGAGATTACCCTTTTTGGATAGTTTCCTTTGGCCCAGAGGAATGGCCTGGAGAACACATCTTGGCATATGTTCTCCTCCTGAATTTTTGTGGATTTTTGTTGTTGTTTTTTGCAAAATAAGTTTTTGGCAGTTGAAAAACTACTCATATAGGACATTTATAGGAACTTGGCAATGGATGTTGAGACTTTATAATTTTTCTCAGGGACCTGAAACCTGAATTTGGATAAAATTAAATAAAAAATATTTGTTTTTCAGTTGCTAGATTTGTGGATTTCTAGTCATTTAACAAGCTGCCAGAATGGAGGGTGGTGGGGAGGAGAGAGCCATGCAATTTCAGGAATGCAGAGCAAGTATGGGACCCTCCTTTTGGAGGAAGGAAAGCTGTTCTCATGGGATAATAGGTACTGTTGCCCTGATAAAGAGATGATGCCATAACTCTAAAAAACTGTCAGACCAAATGCTGTATCTCCTTCCATTTGATCTTAACTGGTGTTCTCCCTGGTTCAAGTTATGTCACCACAAAGTGATGCTGTGTGCATTGCAATCACTTATGATTAAGATATTTAACCTTAACATGTGTCACATCTGTATTTCCTATGCTTCTCCTTTGCTTGTTTACTTTGGTCTCAAATGCCTCAAAGAAAATGCTTGTATGGCAGCAGTGGAGCAACCCCACTCTTGGAGCCGGTACTCCAAAAGGAAGAGTGTTCTGTTCCTATCACACATTCCCAGCCCCAAACAAAGCCTGGATTTCAGTTCTCCCCAGTAAAGCCAACATATCCCTTATCATGAAAAATGTGATAGCAGCAGAAAAGTCTAATTTGGATCACACTGTGTGCCACAAAATGAAGCAAATGACTTTAACAGCAAACACAGGGTTCAGGGAGGTGATATGCTCAGTTTGTAATGCACTTTGTACTTTCTGCTATTTTAATTATTTTGTCACTCTGGGCTTCTGAAAACGCAAAAGGAGATACTGCCTTCCCTATAGGAGCCTTGCAGAGGCAGAGGGCCCTGAGGTCAGGGAATGGGATACCAGAGCCCCTGCCTCTTCATTCTTCAGAAACTAGCTACAGCTCTCCACTAACCTCTGCTTGGAGGTTAGAAGAGACTTCTCTGTTCTATCAGAGAGGGTTGTTTTCACTGTTAGAGACAAAGGATCCCAGAAACTTGCTGAAAAGAGGTCCAGCAGGATGCCACAGGCCCACTGCAGTGCCTGTGGGCCTTGGGGTTTTTTAAACTATAACTAATGAATGTGTACATTTCACAAGCACTTTGGTAAGCTAGATAGAAAAAAGTATTCTCAGGATGTGTTCAAAGCTAAGAGTTTTAATTTCAAAGAGAAACAGTCCAGACAGCTTTCCTTATCCTCTCTCCTCTCCTTTTTTTCCCTTGATGGGGAGCTGGGCATGGGGCATGCACCATTCTGTGTTGACAAGTGTGTTAGGTCACCCATAATTTTGTGATAACTCCCCAGCACTGTCCCCCAACACCACTCAACCTTGGTGGTAAAATTCCTCGGTATTTGTGGGAGTCCTTTGTCTTTCTACACTCCTAAAATACTTTTAACGACTTTTCTCTGGAACCATTCCCACATTTGATTTGGTGTTAAACAAAACGGTAACAGCAAAATGGTGAGCATGGACATGGATCTGTTAGGTTTTTCGGTCTGTTGGTTGAAACTCTTCAAAAAAAAGCCCCACCAAGGGGCCTATCACCTTATCTATTTATCAGCCCTCTTAGGTCATATAAAAGTTGCACCTTTTGAACTATGTAATTGTATTTAACTAGGAGAAAGGTGTGTACTACAGATTAGTATTATATTATTTTAATGGATTTAAATAATTTATAAGTATGCTGAGTGTAAATTTTTAAAAGACTATGTATTGTAAAAGGACATATCCTGTGAAATATATTTTACTGTTAAACAGAATAATTCTATAAGAAGAATGATTTATCTCACCCATGGAACTGATTACATTCCTGATACAATCAACAGGCGCTTTGTAATTTCCTCTTGGTTTTTTTGGAGGGGCGGGGGAGCAAGATATCATCTGTATAAAGTCTAGTTTGTGTCACTCAAAATATGCACTGTATGGCTACACAAAAGCAGCTTGATGAACAAATCACTCCAATGGCTCATTAAAGAACAAAAGCTTCCAGAAACAACAATATGTGTGGTTTATTTTCTGACCATCCTGGCTCCCACCCCAACTCTCTCCAACTTTATCCCAAGGAACAACAATGATTTTTGTTAAAGTGATTTTTTTTTTTTAAGGAAAGGACTGAGCTCACAATTGACAAAGTGCAGAAGTAGTAGTTATTGGAACTCAACTGAATTCAAGTAAAGGTGAGATTCAAGGTGTTAGTTTTCTATGCTAGATGCTCATTTACTCAGTTTAGGGCTAGCTGGGCAAGGAAAGCAGTAAGGCTGCATTTAGGATCCTCACCAAAAAGGCCATGAGGAAGTAGCAATATCTGTTAATACAGGGCCCAAAAATTGAAACCTAGTTTGTCGTTTTTGTTCTGCCACTATATTTCATGATTTTGGGAAAGTCATTTGCCCTTCCTGGATGTTAGTTTTTCTGTCTTCCCCAGGTTTACTTCTCTGGATTCTCAAGTCTCAGTGTAAAGCACAACTCTACTAGGAAATTTCTTCTTCCCCCTTAAACCGGGTGAGATGTCTTGTGTTCCAACATCTCCCAGTATTCGTGGCATCAGAAACTTAGACATAATCTTCTCAAGGCAGAAACGTGACTCCCTGTCTTGCTGACTCAGATCCCCAGCACCTAACAAGGTAGCCAGCACTTAGTTATTGGATAAGAGTGTTGAGTGAGATCAGGGGTTCCCAATGCCAAACCAAGTCTCAGATGAAATGGGAAAAAAAAAAAGTGAATTTTTCCCTATTTATTCAGTTTTTAAATTCTTAAGATTATCGTTCTCATTTCTTTAAAGTTTTTATTTGCATTTTTGCATTAATTTACATTGAAGTGATAATGATATCACTTGTTTGTTTAAATTTCTTTAGTTGGCCAAACAAGACCTAGAAATGCCATTTTTAAAACTTGTCCCTATGATTACTGAATTTACAACAAACCTTTCCAGTTATGATGACGAGAGCATGAAGGTGTAAGGAATACAAGTTAAAAAGAGAGCAGAACTTTGATTTTTTTAAAAAATTGTNGAAGGTGTAAGGAATACAAGTTAAAAAGAGAGCAGAACTTTGATTTTTTTTAAAAATTGTTCTTTCTCCTATATTAGGTAGCAGTACAGTGTCTTAGAGCCAGGGACACAACCATGAAAGGAGATAAGACACATGTAATCTTGTAGGCATCTCTGACTCATAGTGTTGCCATTTATCCATTTTTTCAACAAATGCTGAGCACCCATAGGTACTGCTTGGGCTACGTTGGTGAACAAAATAAAACTCTCTGCCCAGTGGAGCTTGCATTCTAGTGGGGAAAACCAGTGATGTCCACCAGATGGAGACTAGTCATCCATAATAACCAGATTCCACTACCAGGCTATATTTAATTTGAAGAGTATTTCTTGGCATCTTTGAGTCTTTCTCTGCCCTTTCTATCCTTAAATACTCCCTTAAGGATGGAGAAGGAGAAGTGTCTCATGAATCTGAAAACTGCAGCTGGAAAGAAAGGCCCACATAGGCCCACAGGGACTACCTCTTTGTACTTCCTAACCAAAGACATTTCTGGCATTGAAGGCAAAAAAAAAAAAAAAAAAGCTTTCATAGTATCCCCTCTCCTAGCAAAGGCCCTAGATGCAATGAAAGAGGTATCTGTTTCCCATCCGAATTCCAGTGGGGCCAATTTAGAGCAAAAGGTTGAATAAATCCTGGAATCTACTGAGAGCTGCATTGTATTAGGGAAACAGAAGCCACTCTGTAACTTCAGGTGAGAAGGACTTGGCATAGGAATTTGGAGCTTAACATCAACATTGGAAGAACTGGGGAAACAAAGGTCAGAGAAGCTCCGACAGAAGGTCAAGAAAGCCAACACATATCTCAGCCAAAAGCTCTCAAGAATTTGCTGGAAGCCACTGAAATTCTAAAGAAGACCCCTGTGAAATCTCTCTCTTCCCACACATACAGATTCTGCTCACCTTCCAAGTCACATGTGAGTGCCCTCCTCTCAGCAACCCATGGGGAAAGGGATCCTGGGAAATGTAGTTCTTGGAATCTCTGCAATAAACACAAGACTGTAGAAAGGGGTGGTATTGATGCCAGGTTAACTTCAGAAAATCTAGCTTTTGTACCTCTAATTCTCCAAGACTTCTTCCTAGAGATCCCAAGCAATCTCCCAGTGTAGAAGTGATGTGCTCACATCCCAGACACCGCCTTGCAAACTTCAGCAGGCTTCCTTTGCAGTCTTATCTCAAAAGCGAGACTGTAGGATAAATGTGCATATCTGGTCATATTTCCACCAGGTTTCTTGCCAAAGTTCCTTTGCTCAGACTTTCTAAAAATAGGTCTTTAATCCATATGGATAAAACTTTTGATTAGGGAATTGGGTAGTATTATGGCATAGACATTAAATGACCCAAGTAACTGAGGCAACTCTGATGCTTTTGAAAGATGAAGAGAGTCTCAAGTAGTTTGAGTGCTTAGCTGGAAAGGGCTTAAGCTAGACAGGATCTGCTGTATTCTTTCCTCTCTGGGCACCAACCTAGCTATTGTCATTTCCAAAGAAGAGTCTTCTGAACCATTCTTCAAGGCAGGATATCTCTGTCAGCTAGGAGAATTTGTACACAGGCTAAAGGGCAGGGGAGCCCCAAGGATTTCACAGATTCCTCACAGGACCTTTTTCTTCTTGACTTCTAACATTTCTTCTTTGAAGACATAAAATGAAACAGACTGTTTGGTAGATTCCAAGGGTAGAGGGGGCATGGGGAGGAAGCAGTGCCAGAGTTGAGCAGAGCTAAGTGGAGTCATAGCAAGGTATGAGTCCTCTCTAAGCCTCGTTATTTCATTTATATATGGGGATGATTGGTCCCTCCCCCAGAGTTAATGTGAGGATTAAATAACAATGCACAATCAGTGCTTACCTCACTGCCTGGTATATAAAGTGCCTGATATATGTTAGCTTTTTTAAAAAAGATATTTTGTTGATTTTTAGAGAGAGAAAGGAAGAGGGAGAGAGAAACATCATTCGGCTGCCTCCTGCATGCCCCCTACCAGGGATCGAGGCCACGACCTGGGCATGTGCCCTGACCAGGAATTGAACCAGCATCTCTCGGTGCCCAGGATGCTGCCCAACCAACTGAGCCACACCATCCAGAGCTATGTTAACTTTTTATTAGTATTATTTTCTAGGTCTCCTGGGACTGTCTTTGAAAGGGATGTGAGGTTTGTCTGAGCTTCATCCTTCATAAGGAATTACGAAGTGATGGAAATTCCCCTTCACCTTTACCTGCCTTGTGTTGAGATGGATAGTCCTCACCCCTTATGGAGGGGTGAGGAAGGGTAAGGAAGAGAGATCGAGAGAAGTCATGAGATGGTGGGAAGCCATCTGGAGAGAAGCTGGGCTGCTGAATGCTGTGGGAAATGTTTCATGGGATTTGAATTCATAGCACCTGTACTCTGACTCGGAGTGGAAACCGAATGGATCTCCGGACCTTGTGCCCTTTCCTCAATCAGGACATCACAGGGAGGGCTCTGGCACATCTGTTTCCTGTTTGGGGGTTTTCGCTTTTTTTTTTTTAATGTGTTTATTGATTTCAGAGAGAGGAAGGGAGAGGTAGAGAGAGAGAAACATCAGTGATGTTCTATCACTACCTGTTAGTTTTGCCTGTCTTGGAACTTTGTATAAGCAGATGAAATTTATCCGTGTTCTCACATGTATTGGTGATTCATTCTTTTTTATTTGTTTTCCACTCACTGTATGACTGTATTACAATTTTTTAAATCTATTTTTTTAAAATATATTTTTATTGCCCGGCCGGGTGTGGCTCAGCGGTTGAGCGTCGACCTAGGATCCAGGCGATCAGGGTTCGATTCCCGGTCAGGGCACATGCCCGGGTTGCGGGCTCGATCAATGACTCATCATTGATGTTTCTATTTCTCTCTCTTCCTCTCCCTTCTTTTCTGAAATCAATATATATATATATATATATTTTTTTTTTTTTAAATTATATCTTTATTGATTTCAGAGAGAGGAAAGGAGAGGGAGAGAGAGATAGAAACATCAATGATGAGAGAGTCATTGATCAGCTGCCTCTTGCACACCCCTTGCTAAGTTAAGGATCAAGCCCGCAACCCGGGCATGTGCCCTGACCATGAATCCAGCCACCATTTCCTGGATCCTAGGTCGATGCTCAACCGCTGAGCCATGCTGGCCAGGCAATACTACAATTTATTAATCCACTCTACTCTTGATGTACAGTTTGGGCTATTAAGAGTAAAGCTGCTATGAATATTTTTATATTTGGGGGGATAGTTCTACAAGGTACGGGTGGAATTACTGAGTCACAGGGCAGGCAAATGTTTAACTTCAGTAGATTGTTTTCCCAAGGCTTTACCCATTTTATTTCCACCTCCATTAGTTTTTGAACATATCACAGAGGAGCTTCTCCATTGGAGTGTTCCCTATGGTCTTGCGGAAAAAGAGGAGCTCAACGCGTTCAGAAGTGATAAACCTCAAAGACGGGAGGAGCAGAAGCAATTTCCCAAACCTGAACAGGAGAGAGAGAGGACACCATTAGTTTTATTATTGTCTGAACGCAAGTCCTGGGGGCAGTGCCTCCGGGACAGGCAGAGCAGAGAGGAAAGGCGAGATGAGTGGTACCCAGGGTGAGTTAAGGAAGAATTTTGAGGAAAGGTCCCATTCACTGGAGGGGTTGCTACCACCTACCCCAGACCCACTGTGGCCCCCTCTCCAATATGTTTAGTTGAGTGCAGTGAAAATAGTTTATTATGTGTAAAGATAATAAAGTAAGAAGTTCTTTATGTTAATAATATATACAACTATTGTGATAATTAATACTATATATATTTGAAAAGTATGTAGTTCCCCTCTGTAAGCCACCTAGGATGATAGAGTAAACATTAGTGAAAATGTTCTGAAGTGGAATCATAATTTTTGTGGCTGAGATACTCATCCAGAAAACAAGTAATTGTAGTTTTAAATAAGAACTACAAGTGGGGGTCTCCAGTGTAGAGCAAATAGATGGTGAAGCCCTAAGAGACAGATTGACCTTCCTTGGATAGGAGGCCTGACAGCCGGTGTCGATGTCAATGTGAAGAAGCTACTCCAAAGTGAGGCTGCTCCAAGTTCAGCTTCCACTGTGGGGTCTGTGGGAAGCCTCCCCCACCTCCCAATCATCTATGAAGTTGTTTTGCCAACCCCAGGGCTTGCTTTCACCTGTGAGTGTGACTGAGGTGCACTGAGCAGTCTAACGCCCCTTCCTGTGCCTTCCCCTCTTCTGTGTTTCTGGTCTAAGGAGGATCAGGCAGAAGTAACTATGAAGTTAAGTAGAGAAATTGTTTTTCACAGTGCAGGAATTGATACACTAGTGGGTCACAACCAGTCTTTACAAATATCAATAAATTACACAAAGTGAGGGCAGGTAGGATTTGGTGGAACTTTGTTTCAGTGTCTGTGTGTATATTGGGCTATGGTAGACATTGTATTTCTTCCTGGGCATTGAAGTTTTTTAAAACTGCAGTGTGGTCACTGTGCCAGCTGGCAGCTCTCAGAGACTCCAACTCACTCTCTCAACACTCAGTTCTGCCTGTAGCTGGTACTGAACTGCCATAGAAGTGACATAAGAAACCTTAACCAGAATTTTGAAATTCGATACAAAACCGATATGCCCGGACATTTTTGGAAGCCGATCCCAACAGAAACTTGGCCCAAGAGGGCTTCTGCTGCCAGTCATCCCTCGGCTGCTGTGTCGTGTCTTGGAACAGTGTTCTTCCTATGCACATAAGCAGCAGCAATCTTTCTGTGCAACATGGCATGTGCCCAGTATACTTCAACTCTTCTTCAAGGGAAATTACCTCTTCTTGTGACCATTTTTTCAGATTAAGTTTGATTCGAGGGCATCCATGTTAGCCTACTTCTTCAGAGAGAATGGCTGGGAACCCCAAGAGAATGCCAATAATATTATCTAAAATAGCCAGTAGATTCCTGGAAGCCAAGTACTCCAACCACGTGGAGGCTCCACTGTATCTTCTGGCGCTGGGCCAAGCTGGGCAGTCCCAGAGCACTGGCTCCTGCCCCCTCCTCCCCCCAGCCACACCCTCAGCCTGCAGCTACTGTCCCCCAAACCCAGCCAGGGCCAGGCTGTTGTCCATGCACGTGGCTTATGCAAGGACATCCCCGGGAGAGGTCCTTCTATACCACCATCAGAACTTGCCATGCTCCCTCAAAACTACCTTTGCCTCCTGACTTTCTATCTCATGACCACCTCTTCTCCCAGCAGCTCCTCTTCCCTGACATCACCCAAGTGCCAAGCCTGACCCATTCCAGCTTTTGGAGGCTCTCTCATCTGCCATCTCATCTGTCCAAGGAGCATCCTCTGTACCTGCTGCCACACTAGTCCACATGAAGTCCAGCTCTATGTGTAATACCATCCTGCTTAAACCAGCAGTGGCTCCCCTCTGCCTACCAAATCAGATATGGCCTTGGCTGGCATTCAAAGTCCTGAACAGGCTGGTCCCAGAGTGCTGTTCTAGCCTAATCTCCCTCCTTCTCACTGGCAGCAATCTGTTGCACCTTCCCAACTGGGCTCTTGTTCTAAGAACACATCTGAGTTTGCCTCCCTCTCTCCCTTTGTGATGATGATTTCTCTTCTTTTAAGCCCTAGTCTTGCCTCCACAGAGTCCCTGCCAGTTCTGCCGTATACCTCCACCCCCAGTGAGTCTCTGCCTCTTTCAGATCCATACAATCCCCAATACCTGACTAGGTTGGTTCTCGTCTTCAGTGTGGTCATTGGGCTAGGCATCCCTGGAAGGCAGCAACTTTGTCTTACGCACATTTTGGTCCCCACTCTTGGGGCCTGGCACTGTGCCTGGCATACAGTAGATGTTGGATATGTGGATATGTGCTGGTTGAACTGACACCTTTGTCCTGTCTAATCAGTGCAGCCCTGAGGTGGGGCCAGGTAGATAGGCAGGGGGTGAAGAAGTGAAGGGGTAGACGGGCAGGTCACCTCATTGGCTGGCTGGGGTGGTGGGCCTTGCTGTGCTGGCTCAGCATCACTTGGGACTGGTCCTGCAAGGCCTCCACGTGTTCAGGATCCTTCAAGCCCCGTGCTTCTGGAGAGGAGCAGCAGCAGTGAGCTCCTCTCCCAGCCTCCCCTACCCCTCGCAGGCAGCCAGGGCCTGCAGGAAGGGTGCACTCAGCCCTGCGCCTCTCTCCTCCTGCTCCCCAGGGAAGAAGTCAGCACACATCTGGGTCTATGTGGGTTGATGGAGGGAAAGCGAGAGCCAGAAGGAAGTCACTGGAATTCCTATTCTTCATTCCCAACCACTTTTCTGGTTGAACAGACTCAGCTACCTGGTTTGAAGAGGACCAGGGCCTTCATGCAGGCAAACTCTGTGGGGTCCACCGCCAACACCCGGAACCGTGAGATGGTTTCCTGCAGGAAGCGCATCTCTGCGCTGGCCAGTGCCAGCCGGCCCTGGGAGCTGCCAGCAGCCAAGGCCTCAGGTGGGGCCAGCAGCGGGCAGCTGTCCAGAGGCAGAGACCACTGTATGGCTCCAAGGAGGAAGAGTTCACTCCAGGCCTCTTCCAGCAGGATCACCTGTGCTCAGAGAGGGAGTGAGTGTGATGGCTGATACACACAGCTTCTCGGACTGAGCCTGCAACCTCTGACACCTTCTTGAGTGCCCTCAGAAAGGAAAGGCTGGCCCTGGGTGCTCAGAATGTTCACCTAAACTCCTGACCTCCTGACTCATCCAGGGACCCAGAGCTCTGGGATTTGGCACCATCTGGCCTGGCTGCCTGGGTCCATCCAGAGCCACACCTGGAACATTTTGGAAAGCCTGGAGCTGTGGGAAGGTAGACAGCCTTGGGGACACTCACCACGAGCACCCTAAGTTGAGTGAACTTAGGAGATGCAGCCTGACTTCTGATCCAAACTCCGGCTCAGGGCTCAGACCTTCAGTGTGCCTCTCTCTGGTTTATCATGACAGGTTGGTCTGCTTGCCCACGAGAAGCCCAGGGAGCATCCCAGAGTTGAAAAGGTTGGGCTGAAACTCAAGTCCTGAAGTTAGAGGCCTTTGTGCCCCAAGGGAGCCCAGAGCTGCTTACTCATGCTGGTCAGGGTATGCAGACCAACCTGTCACATACAGTGTCTGCAGGACCTGAGGTTTTGTCTAGGAGGAAAAAAGACTGGGGGCCATGGGTACTGTCTTCAAATCCCTGGTTCCTGTGTGTCCCTGTCCATCGTCGCCTCCTAGGTGCTCACCCCAGCCATAATCTCTGCCCCGAGATGTGAGCAACTACAACAGTCACATCCCTGAGACATATACCCCTGACCACCACTGACTCAGGCATGTGTGTCCCCAACCATCGCCATCCCCAAGCCACATGCACCTCCCATCATCACCTGCACATGGAGGCATGTGTCCCCAGCCCGGCTGACTGCTGGGGGTCGCCCAGTGGGTGTACCTGATCCCGGAAGGGTAGGTTGGAGAACACAGGCAGGTTCTTGGCCCACTTGACAGCCATGAAGAGCAGGCGAGCCGACATCTCCTGGATGCTGTCCAAACCACAGGGGGAGGAGGAGGAATATGGGGATGAGGAGAACTCGGGGTCATTGCTGGTGACATCAATGTTCTCATCAACTGTTGGAAGAGGAAGCTGTGACATAAGCCTCTGCTCTTCAGCAGGAGGCAGGGGCTGCTCAGGGGCCTGGGTGTGGGGATATAGGCCATCTTCCCACTTACCATCCTCTGGCTCTAGCTTAGCACAGGTTTCTGCCGTTATAAGGCTGGCCATGAAGTGGTGATGCCCTAGAGGTGTGACAGCTCCAGGCCCCGGGGCTCCGGCTGCAGAAACAGGTGTGGGGCCCTGTGGGCTGGGTCCTGCGGGGGCCAGGGGTTCCAGCTGGGGCTTCCTGCCTGATTCCATGCTGTCCAGGCGGATCTGTGCTGTGCTTCGTGGCTGGCGCTCATTCTGCACAGCTGCAGAGCAGGAAGGGTCAGGACACCCACCAGCCATGCGCCCCCATCTCTTCGGTCACACCTCTCCAGGTTGGCTACCCAACTCACCATCCTGGTTCATGCCTGCCTGCAAGCACTTCTTCAGCCGGCAGGCCTGGCACTGGTTCCGGTGGGCCTTGTCCACCGGGCACATCCCTGTCCCCACCTGGCACCTGCAGGCAGAGGGGAGCCCAGGCGTAAGTATCCTTCTCAGGGCTGGACCATGGGCTTCGGAAACTTCTTCTGTGAACATCCCCTCCCGTTCCCAGGGACTCTGAGGAGCAGGGCTCTCCTGGAGGCGGTCCCGGCTTCCTCACCTGTAGATTAGCCTCCGCCTCACGCTCCTCTTGAAGAAGCCGCTGCAGCCATTGCAAGCGTAGATGCCATAGTGCTTCCCACTGCTGCTGTCCCCACACACGCGGCACTGGAGCGAGGAGCCCACGCCTGAGGGGCAGGGGAGGGGCAGGGGCAGGGGCTGGGTGAGTGCACGGTTGCACACACCTCCCACCTCTTCAGGGACCCCTTTCTACCCCTCATTCCCTTTTCCATCTTGAAAAGTGTCTTTCTATCACCCCCCACACACCCCATCGCACCCACCCAGCTGCCTCCACGTTCCACCTGCCATTCCGTCTCTGTGCAGGTGGCTGCTGGCTCCATTAGCCCACAAAATACACTTGAATAGCAATTACAGCGTGTGGTGCTGGGCCTGCGTTGCTCTGGCTTCTTTCATGGTGCAAACTTCGCTCCCTAAGGGCCGAGACCTTACTTACCTCCAGGAAAGCCATACCTGTCTGCTCCTCTCCCAGGCCCCATCTGCCTGGAGACTCCTTCCTGGAGGCAGCCACAGCTTTTGGTGCAGTTTCAGCCATATGGGAGCCCCTGGGAGCTGCTGTCCAAGTCCTGGAAGGTCCCAGGCAGCCTCTGCCTTCCTGCCTGAGGGAGGCCACCTGGGACACAGAGCCGATCAGCCTCTTCCACCTTCTCTCTATTCTGGCCCTCTGTTTGTGTCCCTGTCTCTTCTATCTACTTCTCCCTTTCCCCGGCCCTGGGGACCTCCCTCTTTGTCTCTCTCCCTGTCTCTCCTCTCTGTCCTCTTGCCTCCTGTCCCCTCTGTTTGACTCAGAAGCTACCCCAACTTCCCCTCACCACAGTGGGTCTGGGGTTCTGGCTCAAGGAGTTTTCTCCCAGGGCAGCGCTGGATGAAGCTGATGATCCTCTTAATCTTTACTGTCTTCACAGGGGGTCAGCTGGCCACACCTGCAGCATTACAAAGGTGCCCCCAGAGCCATCAGCCCTGCTGCCCCCACACCAGACCCCAGGCTGCACAGTGTCCCTGGGTCCCTTCTGCCCAGTGCTCTCAAGCTGTTTGTCACCCAATGCCTCCAGGACTTAAATCTTTTTGAGGTGCTCAGTATGCTTCCACGGACAAGTGTCTGTGGCTGAGGTGTGTGTGCCTGTGTGTGGCCCTGTGCTCCTGTGGGTCCTGGGTAGGTCCAGCTGCTTGCCCTGTGGTTCTCCCCCAATCCCTTGATAAGGGACTGCTGAGGGCCCAGGATTTGAGGGTCCTGGCCCCCTTGTAAGGCTAGCACACCCCAGAAACCCAGCATAGAAGCAGCTCTCGTCACATGTGGGAATCGGTCCAATGTAGGGTCTGAGGCTGGCTTGGAGGCCAGGGGGCTTGTGGCGCAACGTAGAGGGTCACCTTCAGGCCTGCAAGGCAGCAGAAGAGGAGTTGGCAAGTGTTTTTCTTACCCACCTAGAGAGCTTGGTCTGCAGAAAGAGAGGGAGTGAAAATATAGCCCCTGAGCCAAGCTACGGGCTCTCTGGCAGCCTCCCCTTCTTTCCCTGACTTGGCCTCCAGTGCTGGCCCCTCAGCTGGCCCCAGACCCAGTCTTCCCAGCTCAAGCCCAGTGATACTTCTGAGGGGAGGAGGCAGAAGGNCAGAGCCGATCAGCCTCTTCCACCTTCTCTCTATTCTGGCCCTCTGTTTGTGTCCCTGTCTCTTCTATCTACTTCTCCCTTTCCCCGGCCCTGGGGACCTCCCTCTTTGTCTCTCTCCCTGTCTCTCCTCTCTGTCCTCTTGCCTCCTGTCCCCTCTGTTTGACTCAGAAGCTACCCCAACTTCCCCTCACCACAGTGGGTCTGGGGTTCTGGCTCAAGGAGTTTTCTCCCAGGGCAGCGCTGGATGAAGCTGATGATCCTCTTAATCTTTACTGTCTTCACAGGGGGTCAGCTGGCCACACCTGCAGCATTACAAAGGTGCCCCCAGAGCCATCAGCCCTGCTGCCCCCACACCAGACCCCAGGCTGCACAGTGTCCCTGGGTCCCTTCTGCCCAGTGCTCTCAAGCTGTTTGTCACCCAATGCCTCCAGGACTTAAATCTTTTTGAGGTGCTCAGTATGCTTCCACGGACAAGTGTCTGTGGCTGAGGTGTGTGTGCCTGTGTGTGGCCCTGTGCTCCTGTGGGTCCTGGGTAGGTCCAGCTGCTTGCCCTGTGGTTCTCCCCCAATCCCTTGATAAGGGACTGCTGAGGGCCCAGGATTTGAGGGTCCTGGCCCCCTTGTAAGGCTAGCACACCCCAGAAACCCAGCATAGAAGCAGCTCTCGTCACATGTGGGAATCGGTCCAATGTAGGGTCTGAGGCTGGCTTGGAGGCCAGGGGGCTTGTGGCGCAACGTAGAGGGTCACCTTCAGGCCTGCAAGGCAGCAGAAGAGGAGTTGGCAAGTGTTTTTCTTACCCACCTAGAGAGCTTGGTCTGCAGAAAGAGAGGGAGTGAAAATATAGCCCCTGAGCCAAGCTACGGGCTCTCTGGCAGCCTCCCCTTCTTTCCCTGACTTGGCCTCCAGTGCTGGCCCCTCAGCTGGCCCCAGACCCAGTCTTCCCAGCTCAAGCCCAGTGATACTTCTGAGGGGAGGAGGCAGAAGGAAGAGTCTACCTTCTTGGACCAAGCACCAGACCCCAGAGGGAGGGTGGAGAAAGCAGAGACAGGCCAGCCATGTGTCTGAGCAGGTGATTTAACCTGCCTGAGCTCCGGGTTCCTTGTGTGCAAAAAGGGGTGACAAAAGTACTTGTCTTGTATGCAGTAAGGGACACTAAATAATATCATTCTTGAAGTGTTTCAGTGCTTGGTGCTTAGTAACAGTATAATAAATGATGGATGCTGTTATTATTTGTCATGATTACTGAGAGGATCATGGAGCAATACTCAGTAAATAGCCTTTCCTTTCCCTGCTCCACTGCCCCTCCCCCACTCCTACCCCATGCTCAGGACGGAGCAGAAAGCCCCATGCTGGTCTGCAGGGGCCACCCATCCTCAGAAGAGCCGAGCTCACTTCTGGGGTGAGCCTGGGGAAGGGGTTGGCCCAGCCTTAAAGCTCAAGGGGACAGTGTATGAAGCTTCTGGGGGGATCATGGAGTTGAGGTGACAGTAGGGGTGGGGCAAGGCACTATGTAAGTGGCATTAACCCTCATTGTGACAGAGCAGCACTATTGGGGATTTGGAAAGTCAGCCTGAGGGACTTTGCAGGATAATCTGCTCTCTGGGGCCTCAGAAGATCAAGGCCATGGGCTGAGGCCTCTCACCTGACCTCCTCTGCCTCTGTCCTCACGGTTCCACCCCTCCTCCTGCCAGGCCCCCTCCACTGCAAGGTCTCCAGCTCCACCTCACCTCCATGGCCAATGTGAAGGGCATCTCCCTTGAACTTGGTTGACCAGTGCTTCCTTTCCAAAGCTCCTCTTCTCTCTCCTTTCTGGAACTCAGATCTTCACTGTCTTCCTCCCTGCTCTGAACTTGTCATCACCTCAGTGTGCCCCAGAGGTTGATCCCAGCAGACCTTTTCGCTCCCTTCTTGGGCAATCTTGCACACATTCACAGTGTCCATGATAACTTCATACCACACTCCTGCCTGGGGCTCTGCCCCCAGCTTCCAGCCACAGATCCATCCAGAGTCTGGTGTCTGGTGTGGAGACAACTCCACAGGTCCCAACCAACCCATCTTCAACTCGCTTGCACAGAGATGGGCACTAAGCCTAGGAATGAGGGACCGCCTGCTGCATGCATGTGCTAAGGCTAAGCTGAGGGCCTCTAATCTTGGAGGTCTGGGCCCAGGTGGAGCTGCTGGCAAAGGAGCTGAGAGGGAAAATCGGGACAGTGCAGGCAACAGGATGGGAAGGGGAGGACTCAATGATGGCATCAAACAGGTCAAGTGTCCCATGAGGTCATTTGTATCACTAATAAAAAGACCGTGATAGCACTCCAGAAGAGTTCTTATGCAAATACCTGCAACACCATATTCAAAACTCATAGCAACCCTCTAAAGAAGTTATCCTCATCAGCCTCAACTCACCGATGAAGAGACTGAGTTTCAGAGAGGGTAAGCAGTTGGCTTCAGGCCACACAGCTACTGAGTGGCAGAGGAGAATGGGGGTGGAGACAGCATTCAAACGTGTGTCTGACCCCTACGCTGCTGCTTCCCACCAAGGTGCTCTCAAGGAGACTGCCACCTCGGGCTTTGGCAGCAGGAGGTGACTGATGCCCTTGCTGGTGGTTCTGACGGAGAGGGAGAGCCT